TCTATATTATTTGGTTGTACCTATTGACACATATTAGTATATATTATTAATAGGGTGTTTTTTAAAAGTACGAATAATTACATTAGGTATACTGTTACTGTTGTAATCAGTAAAAGTATACAAATAACCACCATTAGTACAAATTACTTGAATGTACATTCTACAGCTTTACATCTCTTAAAGAGACAGTAAGTCTGACACGGTATGTCAAGATATCTGATTAATTCTATATTTGTTGGACTTAGGTCAGAGGTCATCTCATGGAATTATATTGGAATTTTAAAGGAAAAATCCAAAATTATTCCTAGTCCAACATTGCCCTCTTCAAGTAATTTGGAGTAGGGTGATCTGAGTGTGTGACATCATAATTAGGTTAAGATAAGCGTTCTCCTCCCACATTTTTGGGTGATAAAGGTTAGGAGAAAGTTAAGACAGGGGGACTGAAAAAAGGAAAGGATGTACACAGACACAGGAGGGAGATATCTGAAGCTGATGGATGGGCTGCCAGGGGGAACGGAAGCAAATAGAACCTGAACATCTCTTATATAAATATATCTAATTAAACCATTTGTCATTGTTAGCATCAGGATTCAATTTGAGTAATTTTGGCCACAGTAAAAATTGTCTCCCTTTCAATCTTGGGAGAAATATTCATGGAGTCTCCTTGAAGCTGATTTCGGTTTCTAGTCCATGGTTTGGTTGTGATATATACATAAAAATAAAATAACTTGGTGGAAGTTTGTCTTTACCTTAAATAGATTCTTGGCTGATTAGCCAGTCCTGTGCATAGTATTATGAGTTAGTTCATGCGCAGCCGAAATTTGAGCTTCTGAACATCTGTTTGGCTGGGAGAAGTCACATGTTGAATCTCCACATTATTTTGTCACATTCTGCTTAGCTACTGAGAAGTTACTCATTGCATTCCTGGAGTTACTTTGTTTTGTTTCTTTAAAATTTTAATTTATATCCTCTGGTCTTATTTTTATTATCTTGTTGATCACAATTATTGTAATTTTTGATCCATATTCCTTATTGTCACCAGTTAGATTTTGATTATTATTTTGCACTGATTTTTAGTTAATAAATATATATTTGCACATTATTATTTTTATTTCATCTTCAAGTTAGCGCAAATAAAGAACTCGAGTTATTAGTGGATTTGTGAAAATAAGTTGTGAATCTCTTAAATTACAGATCCTTGCCTGTTTTAATAAATGTAAACCGGTTTATTTTATCAGAGTAAACATTCTGACACAAGTGAAAAATCTAACAGAGAAAAAAAAGAGACTTCTATTCTTCTGAGGATGCCAAGTGTAACTTGGCAGATGGCAGGGTATATCACATCTAGGGGGCTGCCCTTCAGTTTCTGTGCCTACTGTCCATTTAACCACTTGCTGACCGGGTTGTTAAACCCCCTTCCTGTCCAGACCATTTTTCAGTATTCAGCGCTGTGGTACTTTGGCTGACATTTATTGGGTCATGCAACTCTGTACTAAAACAAAATGTATACAGTTTTTTGGGGACAGATAGAGCTTTCCTTTGGTGGTATTTAATCACCACTGGGGTTTTAATTTTTTTAAAATTTTGAAAAAAAACTGTTTTCCCTACTTTATGTTATAAAACATTTACCATTACCCAATTTTGTGGTAGAATATTAAAGATATGTCAGGTAAATAGACACCAAACATGTTGAACCTCAAAATTGTATGCACCCACGAAATCGCAAAAAACTACCATGCCTAAAATTGCCATTGGTGACGCTTTAAAAGCTTTTACCGCTAATCAGTTTAGTGTTATCAGTGATTAATGGCCCTACAATTATTGCTCACACTCCCACGTTAGCGGCGATATGCAACATGTGTGGCGTAATTGTGGTTTTTCGCACGGCATGACACATATTTACGCTTGTGCGTGCGGTGAACTTTTTTTTTGTGTGTGTTTTTTAATAGGAGTCTAATAATTTTTATTTTTTTTAAACTTAAAACAGGTGCTCTTTATGCCATCACATAGGGGGCTAACAAGCCCCCTTTGTAATAGATAATATACAGTGATAGGTCCTCTTTATGGAGACTTCATGGGTCTCCGAGACCCCTAATGTCACCTAGGGACCCCCAAAGAAGCTGATGAAGCAGAGATCTGCTTCACCAGCTTCTTCTCTGGCTATAGCAGCCAGAGAAATGACAGCTAAAAGGCAGAAGTGATGAAATACACATCACTTCTGCCTTTACAGAGAATGGAGGGAATGCTGATCTCTCCTCCATTCCTGTACAGGCAGCTACTGTGCCGGTCCCAGGCTCGCAGAGGGGGACAGTGGAGCCTGGGATCTGGGATAAACGTCGGGGGGGAGTGTCGCAATAGGGGGGGGGGAGCGCGGCAATGGAGGGGCGCACACTACATGCAGCCATACAAGCGATCGGCCAGCTGTAGAGCTGGCCGAACGCTTGTATGTAACATACAGGCACCGGCTGTTTAGACTCCTAGTGGGATTCTGCTCAGGGGCGCACGCGAGCAGAAAAAAAAATCACGTATAGGTACGTCCACCTGCTGGGAAGCATCCACCGTCCACCCGTATTTTTACCATCGCCGGACAGCAACTGGTTAACCTGTAGGCAGCAGTATAACCCTATGTTGCCTAATTATCACCAAGCTGTGTGCCTCAATTAATGCGAGAGAAAGGATGTTTTTGAGCATAGAAGAATAGTGTCACAATATCCGGAAATCCGTGCCGGATTTTCGATATGCTCCCTGTTTCTGGGCTGTCAGCCTATGGTGTCTCACAAGGCTGCAGCCAATCTGCTCTCCTTCTCCCCTATTTAGGAGTTCCTCACTTGTTGCTCTTGGCGCGAGCAACAAGTCTTATGCCTTGTTCCGTACCCCTTCGGTCTCTGACTAACCCTGGGATCTTATTCCCTGCGCTTGCTATTGCGCTTGCTATTGGATCCCTGTGCCTTTGGCTTCCCTGTACCAGCTAGTATCCCTTTTTGGCGTTATCCCCTGCTTTTGCTCCTTAATTGCCTTCACCTGTGCGCCTCTCCATACTGCCTTCTTTGCCTTACTTCTACTGTGTTTTCCCTCTACAGTCTTTGTCTGTTTGCTGCCTCCTATTTACTGCTTGTTGTACTTCTACTCCGTCACTTACCTTCCAGTGTATCTTCCTTTGCTTTGCTGTCACCCCTTTATTTCTGTGCTCCTCTCTAACCTGGTGGCTGTGTTGGATTCATCCTTGTCTGCACACCCCCTGTGTGCATACATCCCTTTTGTGCTTCTTTGTGTACTTTTCTCTCTGTTATCCTGCTTCTTTGTATGCATGTGCAACGCACATCTCGTTTACTTTTGTACGTTGCACCTTCCTGCTCCTAGGTGTGCCTCTAAGCCGCTTACCCTTCCCTAGTGTCCTTGCTTATCTATTCTCTTCAGTATACTCTGCTGTTCTGCTGTGCGTTTGCACTTTTGCTTGAGACTTTCTCTCTCTCTCCCTCTTCCTGTCTTCCTCCTCTTGGTTACAAGTTTCTTCCCTACCTGTTTGTATCCAGTTCCCCGCTGCATGAACTAGTCCCTTGCGTCTGTGTGGGTGCGCTAGAGGGCCGCAACCTGGAAGGTGTCCAGCAGCCAATCATCCTCACCACTAGAGGCTCTGTCGAATACCTGGCCCTTCTTAGATTCTGCGCCTCTAGTGCGTCCTCAGAACGCACAGATCATTCGTTCCTCTCTCCCTGTGACCTACATCCCCGATATCCCGCCTCTTTGTGACTCCTACCAACTCCGCAAACACAGGAGCTCATGTGCCCTGGTCCCTAGACCGTGACAAATAGATTAAGAGATTAAAATATTTATTTGGCATTTCTAAATGGTGCAGTTTTTGAGTGCAATAGTATTAGAGATGCCCTTGCATGTAAATACAGTAGTGCTGATCAAGGTGGAAGTTAGGTGTATTGTTAATCTGTGAATGAGTTTCTGGGTTCACAGAACGGCACTCTAACAGAGATACCTTCCCACATGCCTTCTGGTAAATGGACACCTTACATTAGGTCTCATTTACATGGACATGCACTGCCGTACAGCGTGCACATCCATGCAGATATCTGCGCCCGGGAGGAACAGGTGCTGCGTGTAGCTGCCTGTATGTCTCTATGACAGGTTGAGGTGCACACAGACCCAAACTAGCACATCAGCACAGGTATGAATGCATGCCTTGGACAGAGACTGTCTGTGTGCTACATGCAGCACCTGTCCCTCTCAGGAGCAGGTCTCTACATGGACGCTGTACGGCTGTGTACATCTGTGTGAAAGAGACCTAGAGACCTTATACTACATGTGACGGACTCCCTGGCACCCCGACTGAGCACCTCCGTCAGTGATATGGCTTCCCAAATGGAACGTATTCCAAACCCTGTTACCATTACCTCAAGAATCAGGCAGAACTCATTTTGAGGTAAGCAGAATGACACAAGCCTTTATTAACACAAAGCATTGGAGTTTTATAGGAAGAAGCCCACCCCCTCCGGTCTAGAACGAACCGGTATCAACCACTTTGTAGGAGGCTGCTTTGTCCCAATACACACTTCGAGCTGAGAGTCTAACAATAAGCTGATTAGCTCAACTGATAGGTGTGGATGGGGGATGGCAGGATAAACAAAGAGACATACACACAGTGCCTTCCCCAGCGTTAGCAATACACAGCCTGGATTTGTCACAATACTCCCCCCCTGTTCCATAATCCGGCAGACGCGGCTAGACCCACACGGGTCAGCCAGGGGATGTCCGGGAGCACAGTCCTAGATCTCAGTTTGCCGGGAAAGCCCATCCGCGTTGCCATTCTGCTTTCCCGGCCGATATTGCACTGTAAAGTTATAAGGCTGCATGGCAAGAGTCCAGCGCAACAAACGTCCGTTGTCTCCGGAGACTCTGTTGAACACTACATATACGTTCTTAACCGATATGTAAAAATGCGGGTTTTTACAGCTGCTGCTTTATATGAACTTTCAGACTTTCTCAATTACCTTTAGTAAAGGATGGATTTTATCTACAGGGAGAGATAAAGGATTCCGTCGCTTCTTCTTCTCAATAGCAGATTGAGCATCAGCGATTGCCCACTTATCTATGGGGTGAGGGAAGCTTTTCTGAACCCGCTCCTAGAAAAAAAAAAAATGAAATGAAAAACAATTAATTAAAAACTCAAGTATAAATTACCAGGTATGTTCTGAAAACGAAAACTAACAATGTTTATCTTATTTAAAACTAATCTCAGTGCTCTATTGCAAATGAAGAATGTATAGTAGCTGAATTTCTATACTATGTTCTTTACTTCTCTTTTTATAAACTATAGAGAAAAAAAAAGACCGGATAAAAAAGAATAAAATAATGCATGACAAATATGTCAAATAAACATCTTTTATATAAACAGACTATTTGTTGATCCTGCCAGAAATCTTGTAAGTTGATAAATTCCTGTGCTCTCTTTCTCTGCTGCACTTTTATCAGTTAGCATTCTTCCCAGCCAACTATGTGGACCCGAAAACACCTCCCACCAATGCTGGGCAGGAGAGGAAGATGCACCAAATAGACATTCACAATAAAATGGAATGCACACCAGGTTTTTCTTACATTACTGTTCTGCAGACCAACATTTTCGTCAAAGATTTTGACTAATCAAAATCAGGTCAATATGCCATAAATCGGTGGCATTTACCGCTCTGCTATAAGCTCATGGTCGCTTTATATCAGAACTGTCCCCCGGACTGTCAGCTTTAAATTAATAGCTGTCATCAGCGGCTTGATAGTAAATATTTTACTATCACTAGTTTCTGAATGAATGGGAAGCCTCTGTACTGAGTGCTTTCCATTCATTTAGAACAGATACTGCAAAAAAAGAAATTGATGACTCAATTTCTTTTTCTATTTTAAAAGGGAAATGTCAGGGATCTGTTTAGACACACTATCGGTTTAATATTAATTTGATAAACATTTGTACAATTATAGCAGGGCCTAAAAATTTAGTAGCACCATCTTTTTATTCTACCGGGCCTGTGCTTTCAGAAAATATATGGTTAGGGGGGGTCTTTTACAAACGCTAGCAATGCAGCAGTTGAAAATCAAAATCAATGGGAAAAATTGCAAAAATGGTGTGGCCAGCTGAGGTGCAAAGCTTACCGGAGGGCTTGGCAGCAAAAGGGTTAATAGCCTCTCCAACTCCTGGCTGTTGGAAATACAACAGCTTATGCTAATGTAATATTGTATTTTGAGCATTAGATGGCGCTGTGGTGCAAAGCTAGTCTATGCTCGTCTGTGTGTTACTTTTCTAATTGCATGCTTTTATCTATGATATATAGGTTTCCTAATTAATGCTGTCTTCCTGTATTCAGATGTAATGTTGTTATAAGCAAGAAAAACTTAATTCAGCATTCCTCAAGATCTCAGTGCTTCCTCTAAAACACATAACAGGTTATTGGCCCACGCACTGAACCGAAAACTGCAAGTCAACAAGTGCCACATCCAAGCTACTCTACTGATGACAAACTTAATTCAGCATTCCTCAAGCTCTCAGTGCTTCCTCTAAAACACATAACAGGTTATTGGCCCACGCACTGAACCGAAAACTGCAAGTCAACAAGTGCCACATCCAAGCTACTCTACTGATGACAAGTAGAGCAGATTTGAAGTTTGCAATCGCAAAGCTCAATAGCAACTACCAGCTGTGGACGTTCAAGCTTGAAATCCTGCTAAACAAAAGCAACTTGTAGCAAGTACTGAGTACATACAGACCCAGTAATGGACCTACGAACGAATGGGACAAGAAAAACAGACAAGAAAAGGCAATTATAAATCTGCTAGTGGAAGACAACCAGCTCATCCACATAGGAAAAGCAAATACAGCTAAAAGGGTATGTGGACTGCATTACAGAAACTGCATGACTGTTCAAACCTACACAGTAAACTATATCTGCTACTCAAGCTATATAAGATGAGACTAGAAAAGGTCCAGAAAATGCGTGAATATGTGAATTCCATGCTGGAAATCGTAGAACAACTACATGCAATTGGAGAGGAAAATAAAAGTAATCACGTGGTGGCATTACTGCTATGCAGCCTTCCAGAGTCATACAAAGCTCTTATTAATCCTCCAGAAACCAGACATGAGCAGGAACTAACACTAGAATACACCAAAGGAAAAAAAATCAATGAATATGACAGAAGGAAAGAAAATATGCACAATGAAGAAAACTGGAAATCCCTGAATGGTGCATGAGAGCGCAAAGCAAAACAAAGATAGCAGAGCGTGTTTTCGCTGTAAAAGATTTGGTCACCTGAAAAATGACTGTTCAATCTGGAAAGCCAAGCAGCGAAAGAGAGAGGCACTTACAAGAGGAAGAGCTAAAGCAGTTACAAAGGAAACTGCAGGCACACGATGGAGTGCTACCTTTAAGGTGACTCAGAACAGTATACAGTACTTGTTAGAGATGTTACCAGCACACCGGAGTGAAAGATATTGATTTTAGTGTGCTTTATCAATTGAATTGTGTATTTTCTATCGGTTTAATATTAATTTGATAAACATTTGTACAATTATAGCAGGGCCTAAAAATTTAGTAGCACCATCTTTTTATTCTACCGGGCCTGTGCTTTCAGAAAATATATGGTTAGGGGGGGTCTTTTACAAACGCTAGCAATGCAGCAGTTGAAAATCAAAATCAATGGGAAAAATTGCAAAAATGGTGTGGCCAGCTGAGGTGCAAAGCTTACCGGAGGGCTTGGCAGCAAAAGGGTTAATAGCCTCTCCAACTCCTGGCTGTTGGAAATACAACAGCTTATGCTAATGTAATATTGTATTTTGAGCATTAGATGGCGCTGTGGTGCAAAGCTAGTCTATGCTCGTCTGTGTGTTACTTTTCTAATTGCATGCTTTTATCTATGATATATAGGTTTCCTAATTAATGCTGTCTTCCTGTATTCAGATGTAATGTTGTTATAAGCAAGAAAAACTTAATTCAGCATTCCTCAAGATCTCAGTGCTTCCTCTAAAACACATAACAGGTTATTGGCCCACGCACTGAACCGAAAACTGCAAGTCAACAAGTGCCACATCCAAGCTACTCTACTGATGACAAGTAGAGCAGATTTGAAGTTTGCAATCGCAAAGCTCAATAGCAACTACCAGCTGTGGACGTTCAAGCTTGAAATCCTGCTAAACAAAAGCAACTTGTAGCAAGTACTGAGTACATACAGACCCAGTAATGGACCTACGAACGAATGGGACAAGAAAAACAGACAAGAAAAGGCAATTATAAATCTGCTAGTGGAAGACAACCAGCTCATCCACATAGGAAAAGCAAATACAGCTAAAAGGGTATGTGGACTGCATTACAGAAACTGCATGACTGTTCAAACCTACACAGTAAACTATATCTGCTACTCAAGCTATATAAGATGAGACTAGAAAAGGTCCAGAAAATGCGTGAATATGTGAATTCCATGCTGGAAATCGTAGAACAACTACATGCAATTGGAGAGGAAAATAAAAGTAATCACGTGGTGGCATTACTGCTATGCAGCCTTCCAGAGTCATACAAAGCTCTTATTAATCCTCCAGAAACCAGACATGAGCAGGAACTAACACTAGAATACACCAAAGGAAAAAAAATCAATGAATATGACAGAAGGAAAGAAAATATGCACAATGAAGAAAACTGGAAATCCCTGAATGGTGCATGAGAGCGCAAAGCAAAACAAAGATAGCAGAGCGTGTTTTCGCTGTAAAAGATTTGGTCACCTGAAAAATGACTGTTCAATCTGGAAAGCCAAGCAGCGAAAGAGAGAGGCACTTACAAGAGGAAGAGCTAAAGCAGTTACAAAGGAAACTGCAGGCACACGATGGAGTGCTACCTTTAAGGTGACTCAGAACAGTATACAGTACTTGTTAGAGATGTTACCAGCACACCGGAGTGAAGTGAAGCAAACGTCTATTTATTGACGCATCATGTCATAACAAATTACAAAGTTCCGCGGCCACACAGGGGTCCCCTTCATCAGGCTTGGTCATTTTAAAGGAGAACTATGAGGCGAGTGCTTTTCACTCACCTTATAGTTCTAGCCGACCTGTGACAATGAGACTGTCACAGGTCGGCTCAGTAGATCGGGAGGTGAGCGAACACATACCGGCGTTTGTTCACCTCTCGATCCTGTCACGGCTCTCTGCCGTGACAGGGGAGGGGCTGGATTCCCCCCCTCTCCGCCAGCGCTGACTGGCGGAAGGGACGGGGGAGGGGGCGGGTACAGCTGGCTCTGCCTCTAGATAGGCAGAGCCAGCTGTCAGTCACGCAGCTGGGCGGATCCAGTCTAATTGTCGGGATCCGCTTCAGCTGCGGCGTCTTAGTATACCGCGAGCAGCAGCTCGTGGTATACTGCGGTGTCTCAGTATACCGCAAGCTATAGCTCGCAGTATACGGAGCCTAGGGTGACGGGAGGACGCTAGTTTGTGTCCTCCCGTTACCCTAAGGAGAACTATGGGGAAAAGCCTTAACCCCATAGTTCTCCTTTAAGCCTATTGAAGGTGACCCTGTGTGGCTCCAAAGGTTGTAATTTGTTATGACATGATGTGTCAATAAATAGACATTTGCTTCACTTCACTCCAGTGTGCTGGTAACATCTTTAGCAAGTTCTGCTATGAGTGGCATCATCCGCAGTCACTTCAAGCACCCACGCTGACGGACACCCAGTAGGGAGTGCAGTAGGATTCTGGAATACATGTTTAGAACAGTATACCACGTGGATGGTGTATTGATTCAGGCGCAATGAGTCACATGGCTAGTGATGAGACCTTCACAGAACTTGATTTTAATGCACAGGACAAAGTTTTCCTAGAAAACAGGAAAAGCATTACTGCGATAGGTAAAGGTCAAGGATTATTAAACTGCATCACGCCATCAGGGGACAAGCAGAGTATCCTCGTGAAAAATTTACTGTATGTTCCAGACCTAGACGGAAGCCTTCTATCAGTGAAGACCCCTGCTAATAGCAGTCTCACAGTTCAATTCATTGGTGATGAATGTACAATCCGAAACAATAAGCAAATCCTTGCAAAAGGAAAAATGGATAAACACATGTACAGACTCATTACTGCAGACGAACAAGTCAT